TCTGTGTTACCGCACAAGCTGGTACCTACCTATCGAAAATACTTTTCATTTCATTCTCAACAGCCAATTACAGGTTCGGAAAAATGAACAACTATTCACAAATCACAATTGAGAGCACAAAAAAATGTCATAGAAGTCATGCGCAGATATGCACACTATCAAACAATACATCAACAATGTTTTCAATACTAGTAATATTAGAGCAGAGGATCGGATGAATCTTGGAAAAATATATAACCTGAACATTTTCAATAAAAGGTAGACATTGCAATAGATTGAATTGAGGTATGCGGAGGAGTAAGAAATATTTATCTCTAACTGTCAATCAAGGAACATAGTATATCAATGAGATAGTAAATGGAGACAATCAAGTTTGTTATTGAGCAATTCATACAGGGTATATCACGACGAGCTCACACTATTTTTGTATCAAGAATCAGTTAGGAGAAATCCATGAAGATGTGCATGCTTATATTTTCTGATACGCTTTCTTCATCACGAATATTTTCGACATTGCACTGTTACCGCTTCTAGTTAGAAGTAGCAGCAACATCGAGACATAAAATAAAACACCCTGTAATTCATGGAATTCTCAGATTTTTCCTGAAGAGCTGATTTCATCGAAATATAACACAAGAAATTCATCAAAAATGATAATAGAGATATAGGGTGTTCAAAATCTAGATTTTCCAATTTTAAGATTTTTCTGTTCCGGAACTATTCATCATCGGTCAAAACGGCTCATATGTCTCTATCCCATCTTCTGATCCACCATTCACTTATATTGAAATAAAACAGAAACAGTCGTATGGTTCAAGATTCAGAATTTTGATCACCCTGTTTCTGTTCTGATAAGAAATCAGTGAAAAGTAAATCAGAAAATGAGATAGGGACATGTGAACCGCTTTGGCCGATAATAGAAAGTTCAGACACAAAAAAAACTAGAGAGAAAAAATCGCGATTTTGAACACCCCTTATCTCTGTCATCATTTCCGATAGACACCTCAAGTTTGATGGAATCGACTCTTCAGGAAGATTCTGAGAATGCAATGGAATACAGGGTATCTTATTCGAAATAACGAAATTGTTGCTACTTTTTGATAGAAGCGGCAACACTTAATTGCTAAAATTTCAAATAGAGAGAGAGTATTCTGAAATATGAGCATGCATAATATGTTCATCGATTTCCTCCGACTGATTCTCGATATAGAGATAGAATAAGCTCGTCGAGACATACCCTGTATAAAACACAACTATAAGTACGGCAAGAAGCCAATAGTGCGGTTTCAAATCTTTCTGTAACTATCAATTGAGACAGAGGTGTTTGATGAATGTTTGCTATATTATTGAAATGAACATCATATCCAGGAGTCCAGGTCACCAAAGCATACTCAAGTTTTGACCTCACAAATGCATTTGAAAGTTGACTTCTGTGTTATGTTTTCTATGTTAAACGGATTCGTAATTCCTTCGTGTATCGATGTTACATGAAATCTCATGATTTTTGAGTAATTAGTGTACTTTCAATTGAATAGATCAAAATCACAACCATCATTGATAACTAAAAATCGCATTTCTAGTTTTTTTTATTTGTTTCTAGAGGAAATACACCATCAGGAAGATGAAAATTTCAACAAATCACCAACTTATTAAGAGAAGCAATTATTTTGAGAATTTCCGATCAGAAATTAGGGTGATTCTCTGATGTCTAGTCAGGAGGAGGTGAAAAATTCATCTTCTGATGAAAAAAATAACAGTGTGTTTCGGACATGATAAATAAGATTCTCACCAGATTTCATGGAAGAATCATTTTTTCAATACATGCAAATACTAGAGAGGAAACTTGTTTTTTTTTAATTTGTCACATAAATTGAGGGGTTATTTGAGAATGGTGTGAATACAAAAGTTTAAGATCTTTTGATCACCTACCTACATTTTTCGCCTCTGTACTTTTTCCATTGAACTTGTACTCACTCTCCTCCACTTCTAGACCTCAGATCGCCAGTAACAGTTTTTCGTCTTATAAGGCAGAAAAGCAGTAGATAGACTGTAACGTGAAAATTTACCTGTTTCCTGAAGTTTTCAGTTCCTAGGTGAAGTTCATTGTGTATCAGGTGTTTTGATGATAGATTTCGGTGTTAACAACTAGAGAGACACTCACACAGTATATAATATTTTTATTCATGTATAAAAGTACATAATAATAATAAATCGTCTTTATTCATCACAACAAGTCACAAGAATATCATATATAGGCTGATTTTAAAATCAGTGCATATATTCAGGACATATACAGTCTGTCCAAGAATAGGTTGAACAGCATGGGGATCTCGGAAACGGTAGGAGATACGAAGTCGCTTGAATGGGGAAAAAGTTGCGCATTCGGAGGCTCATATCAAGAGCCTTCGAAAATTTTGAAAATTATCTTTAGTTTTTGAGTTATATCGAAAAAAGTGAATTTTTGGAATTTCTATTTTATTTTTTTTCTCCGTTATCATCAGAGATACAGAAAAACTGAAAATACTTTTTCATTTCAACTTTTGATGAGGTTTAACGTGGTGATACTGATTTTTTTATGCGACGTTTCGTATTCGTGGAACCATCATCAACTTTTGTTTTTTAAATACGGTCCTGATAATTTTTTCACAGATTCTGAAAGGTTTTTTTATTCTAAATTCAACAATGTACTATAAAAGGTGATTCAAATGTGTGTCGACCTATTTCTATCCATCATCAATGTTTTTTCGAACTTCCAAAAGAAAAAAGCCATCAGTTCCACCTATTTCTTATCATTTAGTGTCAAACTTGATGGATTAGTACTTCAATACTGAAAAGTGAATAAAAAATATTTCACTACATCATTCGATCAATGCAGCGTTTAAAATTGTTGATGAATTCTTACACGAATTACTTTAACAACTCAACTTTGACAATACCTACAGAGACATTCATAACAAATGTTCAAAATGATAACCATTATTTTCTGAACAAAGATATCCTCTTCTCACAGTTGTTTCTAAGACATTGCTAAGCATTTCTGGGGTTATTCTATTGAATGCTTCGAAGACACTGTCCCTTAGTTCTTCTTCATCCTCAAAGTTATTTGCGTGTACAAAGTTCGATATATCCCCTAAGAAAAAATCCAACTGTGTCAAATCAGGCGACCGCGCCAGCCAAGGGATAAAAACGCACGGACTTCTCTGGAATTATGTACCGGAGCGCCATCTTGTTGAAACCAACAGAGTTCTGAACTTCCGCAATCGGTAAATCATCCAGAGCTTCCTCAAGATGATTCTCAAGCAAATTTCTATAACGTTCGGAAGTCTGTGTTTCATGATAAATAAGTAGAAGGAACAATATTTCGTGTACCAAATATTGCAACCCACATATTAAAGCCGAAACGGTGTTGGTGTCTCGCTGTAATGTATAAATGTTCATTTTCTCGTGAACAATAATGTGTATTTTTTCCATCGAAGCTACCATGATTAGTGACCATGCTTTCATCAGTCCAGATGATTGTTTGAAAGAAATCTGCAGAATTTTAACATTTCCTGGTATACCACTCACAGAATATCTTGCGCCTTTCGTCATCGCCTGGTTTTAGCGCTTGACATATTCTGAATTTGTATGGATGGAATTTTTGTTTCCGCAAAATGAAATGGGTTGTTGATTGAAACCAGTTGATGAGGTATCAGTGTGTTGACTAATTTTTCTTCAAAATAAGTGGAACTGATGGCATTTTTCCTTTGGAGTTTCGAAAAAACATTGATGATGGCCAAAAATAGGTCGAAACACAAATGAACCACCTTGTATAATACATGGTTGAATTCAGAATAAAAAAAACTTTTAGAATCTGTGAAAAAATTATCAGGACCGTATTTAAAAAACAAAAGTTGATGATGGTTCCACGAATACGAAACGTGGCATGAAAAAATCGTTATCACCACGTTGACCGTCATCAAAATTTGCTATAAGAAAGTATTCTCAGTTTTGCTGTATCTCTAATAATAACGGAGAAAAAAAATAAAATAGAAATTCCAAAAATTCACTTTTTTCGATATAACTCAAAAACTAAAAATAATTTTCAAAATTTTCGAAGGCTCTTGATATAAGCCTCCGAATGCGCAACTTTTTTCCCATTCAACCGATTTTGTATCTCTTACCGTTTTCGAGATCCCCATGCTGTTACCCCACCTTGCATTTCATGTTCAAAAGGTGACACGTGGCTTGAATTGTTCCTTAGACCCTATTCTTCGATATGAGAAATGTTGCCACGGTCCCACCCCCTGCAGACCCCTTATTTAGGCATGGTTGCCTTCCTTCAGGGGCAAAACGCCCTTTTCCTCATTTCTCGCGTAATAAACGTCGTAGATGTCTACTTTTTTTACACATTTGAAGTGTTTTGAGTGCCCAAGGCTCACGGCCACACATTTCAAAATGGCGTCGTCCGAAATCGAAAAATTTGAACATTTTCAAAGAAACAAAAAAGAGGTAACATAGTATGTGATTAGTATCGTGACGGGTGTCGTTTCATATGTTTCCGGGGCGTCTGATTACGAAAATATGTAGAGGTTGAAAGTTGGATAAATGTCGCAATGAGGCTACGGAAGTGTGTTACAAATCAAATCTCGGTTTGAATTTCCGCGCGCTCACGCGGGGAAGAGATCCGCGCATTCGTTTGATTCCGCGCGCTCGGCAACAATGGTCTCTTGGCGGAGCTGTTGTGACTTGTTGTTGCACTTGACCATACAAACTATGCCAGGTGGCTACCAGTCCATATTAAGGACCTCCTTGCCTTAGAGGAGGATAATCCTGCTCTGTACAAGGAATTTCAAGCAGGTCACTTTGTGGCAAGAAAGAGCTGCAATTCATTTTCGGCCATTGCTCTTGATCACGCACGGAGGTAAGCTGCTAAGCAAACAATAAAAATAAAAAAAATGAAATCCCTCAAATTTTCTAAAAAGTACGTTTGTAACAGTTTTTTCGCCTTTTTTTTTTAGGTATGATCGGGTTAACAGAGAATCCCGAGGCGATGAGGAAGTTTGTGCTGTTAGGACCAGAAATGGCCAACATGGTTTTCAAGTTTGAGGATGAATCATTTAACAATACTGAGAAAAAGGGCGACCCAAACAACCATCACAATGCCAATAAAGCAGCTCAAACAGCCTTTTTAACTCATGAAAAGGCTTTAGAAAGCGTGATGACCGATTTGGGTAACCCCTTTCTAGAAGAAAATGAAGATTTGTACCATTTAGAGTCCAAAAAAATTTGCCCTTCAAGCTCTAAGGATACTGTTTTTACCATATAGGACTGTGGTGTGACACAGTATCAGAATTTTGTTTCTGAACGGCTCGAAAGTAACAAAGTTTCATTGATGGATCCAATGAAATTGAGCAAATTCCCTCTGTTCAAGACCGGAGTGAAAAAAAATACAAATTTGAATCTGAAATCCCAAGTGACTGCTTCAAAAAATGACTGCAGCTTGTTTAGTAGGTTATACATCGCCACTAGCGCTAACAGGCCAAATGATCTTGGAGAATTTTTCTCCCATGAAAATCAGGAATACCCTCCATCTATTTCTGTTATGGGGAAATTGCGCACTAGTGACTCGAAATCAGACCTTACCAAGTACCTGTCTAACTTGTCTGAAGAGTGCACCGCTGATAGTGTGCCCATCGTACAAGCAAAAATACTAGACGGAGCAGTGATTGAGCACATGTTGAAACCAGGAACTTCTGTCACTTTTGGCGATTATATAAGCAACATATTTCTCAACTATGTCAGAAAGGAATCTGCTACAGTGAATCGGTTGGATTTAGTCTTTGACAGGTTTGTGCAATACTTTTTTCTTTTTTGCAAAATTGTCACAAAATAACCTGATTTTAATAAGACTGTTTTCATTTCATTTTCATTTCTAGGTACCTTGAAAATAGTCTCAAAAATGGGACACGTCAGAAGCGCGGAGAGGGATCAAGAATCCGAGTGACATTGTCCACCAAAGTGCCTAAAGGATGGGAGAATTTCCTTCGACATGCCGACAACAAGACAGCCTTGTTTGAACTTCTTGCTGAAAGCATTTCGAATTCAAACATTCCCGGAAAAACTTTTTTTGCAACTTTAGAGGACTCTGTCGTCAGCAGCCCATTCGGTGCTGATAGCTCCTCCATGGCCCCATGCAACCACGAGGAGGCAGACACACGCTTATTTGTCCACTTGGCAGATGCAGTGGCCCATGGCTGTGAGAAAGTGACGATTAGGACATGTGACACGGGTGTTCTTGTCATAGCAGTATCCTGTATTCAGCAGTTGCCTCAGCTTCAAGAGCTATGGGTGCATTTTGGCATGGGCAAGCATTCCAAATTTCTGGCTGCGCACGAAATTGCCATTGTTCTAGGTGGGTGAACAAAAAGATAATAACTGCTTTTCGACGAATCCGGGCACAACAAAGACCTATCTGTGTGGCAATTCCTACACATATAGGTCTTTGTTGCAGGAATTCGTCGTTACCGAACCACTTTCATTAATTCTCTCTTTAATTTATGTACTTAGGTCCTGAAAAGTCAGAATCGTTGCTGGGTTTCCATGCTTTTACCGGCTGCGACACAGTGTCCTATTTCAAAGGAATCGGAAAACTCACAGCCGTAAACGCTTGGCTGAAATATCCTGGAGCAACAGATGGATTTAAAGCTCTTCAAGACGGGACAGTTGTTCAGGCTATGGGCAATTTAGAAGTATTTGTTGTTTCAACCTACACCAGGTAAAATAACAAAACTCTCCTCGAACGTAAAATATAGAAAAATATTAATTTACGTATTCTGATTCCAGGACTGCGTCTTGCGAGACTGTGAACGAGTGCCGGAGGGTGTTGTTCACAAAGAGCGACCGTCAGCTGAAATCCATTCCACCAACAAGAAACGCTCTGGAGCAACACGCTAAGAGAGCTTCCATTCAGAGTCAAGTGTGGAGACAATCTCTGGAGCGTAAACAAAACTTTCCCGACTCAGCGGACTTTGGCTGGAAAATATGTGAAGAGGGTTGGGAACCTGTGTGGCGCACGATTCCTGTTGCATCTGAAGCTTGTGAGGCACTAATTAAATGTTCCTGTCGAAAGGGGTGCGTACCGGCCCGCTGCAAATGCCTGAAAAACGGTCTCAAATGTTGCGAGCTGTGCAAGTGTACCTGCCGACTCTGTACCCCATGAATTCTAAATATAATGCACCCTCCGTCAATGACTTCTCAGGATGGATTTTAACTTTTATTTTCGTAATCAGACGCCCCGAAAACATATGAAACGACACCCGTCACGATACTATATGTTACCACTTTTTTGTTTCTTTGAAAATATTCAAATTTTTCGATTTCGGACGCCGCCATTTTGAAATGTGTGGCCGTGGGCCTTTTATAATCGTTTGTCAACCTTGGGCACTCAAAACACTTCAAATGTGTGAAAAAAGTAGAGATCTATGACGTTTATTACGCGAGAAATGAGCAAAAGTGCGTTTTTCCCCTGAAGGTAAGCAAACATGCCTAAATAAGGGGTCTGCAGGGGGTGGGACCGTGGCAACATTTCTCATATCGAAGAATAGGGTCTAAAGAACAATTTAAGCCACGTGTCACCTTTTGAACATGAAATGCAAGGTGGATTCTCTTACCCGCCGGACTATAATCTTGGGTGGCCAGGTAGCCGTGCGGACAGAGTTTCTATATTCCAATTCGCATTCGCTTGCCGGTCGTGGGTTCGATATCCGTCAACTGCAGAAATTTTTTCTGATGGCCCAAGAAAGTGTTTGGGATCACACGTTAAAAGGTAAGGCCCCCGTCATTCCTTGCTCGCACAAGACTTTCGAAGACTTTAGAGGGTTGCTCGTAAGGGGGCAACCGAATGACAAATAGAACAAATTTTAGAACAAAAACAAATTTTAGAACAAAAAAATCTTGGACAGACTGTATATGAGAGAGTCTTACTAAAATTACTGAAATATCAGATTTTTCATAAGTCTTTACAGTAACGAAAAATTTCATTATGAAAATTGAACAAAATATGCTTCGAAATTCGAGTACGCCATTGGGAAGCAAGTGGAATCTGCGGAATCCCAGGGAATCCCTAATTCGTCATTCACTAACGTCAAAACAAGACAGTGATGCCAGATTGTTTCAGAGACGAATATCCTGATAAAAATTTGTCATAGAATGAATATGAATTGGAATAGGTTATGGAAACTAATAGAGGTGAATGTAATATGTACAGGAGCCTTATTCTTCAAAGTTTACTGAGAGAACTGTGGGGTGATTATCTCCATGGATCACGAGAGACGGAGAGAAACATGAGGGGAATGATAGAACGTCCCCCTTCCTTCAATTCGAAAATAAGGCCCCAGCGGGTAGATACAAAATTAGCAGACAATAAATAGGTACACAATATACACAAAGTTGAAAATCGACTCACCTAGTAGATTTTCTCATACCTGCTCGAACAGCAAAACTCTCGAGAGCAAACAAATACTAATATCGAGTCCATTCCAAACTAATATCGTCCTGTGTTCTTGTTGGTTCATATTCGCACTTAAACCATCGAAAACGACTCGACGACGACATATCCTTCCTGGCAATCTCACATTGAAAATCACGATCACGACCATATCACGATTATCACGACACAAGACACAACATCCAATTAATAAATTTTTTATTTCACGTTTACAATTATTTTACAAACCAGCAGCCACACAAACAAAACTATTATCATATGATCTGTCAACATCATTTCTCAGAACAGTAGTATCTGTGACTATAGATTTCCTCTTTGCTGTGACCTTTGACAGAACTAACTAGGATTGTTCGCGTTCTATTACTATTTCACGAAGATTGTTACGATATAACGATTTGTCATGAATCTATTACTATTTGTTATTAGCACCAAAATATGTTTCAATACTAAAAATCTATTTCTGTGCTCAGCGGATAATTATGTTCCGTTCTATGTTCTATATTTATGTCAAAACTGTGATTAGTGCGATAGGGTTTGACAAGAATGACATTCCGAATGTCAAATGTCAGATTTTTCGAGTCTATTACCTTTCGATACAAATCTGATACTTTTTTCCAAGGAAATCTATTACGAAAAAATCAGACCCAGGAACAACTCTGACTAGTAAATGTGGAGTTTTGTTTCTGACAATTTTCTTGGAATGTGACGATGCATTTCTCAAACATTGAGTTGAATGATATGGTTCTTATATCGGGTCGTTATTGTGCAGGGCCCATGAGAAACCTCGAAGGACACGAAATTTTAGCGATGCAAGGAGGTGGAAGGAAGGGTCTAAAGGATTTTTCAGTAAAAGAACTTTCAACCGTGAGGTGTTAAGTTATACGCTATTCGAGCTTATGTGTAGAAATTTTGGGTGAGTCCATTTTGAAGTTTTTGTATTATCTTTCTGAAATTCAAGACCAGGGTTAACTTCTTCCCCATGTACATACATTTTCTCGATTATACATTTAATTTAATATCTCCTGATTTTCATGTGAAGTGGCAACGTCGCTTCGTTCATCACGGTCGACTGCGGATCGCAAACGATATGTTTGTGACAGTAGTAGAAATCTGGGCGGAAAAAGGGGAATTTTGCCCCAAATCTATTTTGATTCTAATAATATTTTTAATAGTGCTATTCGGTAGTATACCTCAAGCTTTCTTAGTGTTTAAAATATATGCACTTATTTCAAAATCAGCCTGTATAGTATAACATATTAGTGATGAAAAGGTGAAGTGTCAGCGAGTGCTGTTTTCAAACTTCACCAGGAAATGAAAAATACAAAAACAAAATATAGTTCTAACATAACTCATTCATTATGCCTAAGGGTGAAGCCAAGACAAATATAATATATTATTCAAATTCAAATTGTGAAATTTCACTTGATGGAGATTTAACAATGTGTCGTAAACTCTGAGAGATAAACAAAAGTAGGTAGGTAAGAGAAAGTGATAATATATATAATATAATATAATAATAACACCGTGCGAAGTACAATCGGAAATCAAAAATCATCATATGATCAGCAATCCCGGAAACGAACCCGCAAATAACATTTCAGTAATTGTCGGACCAATGATTGAAGTAAGCCTCTTTCAATTTTTTTTTGAAGTTGGTCAAGGTATAATGGCGAAAACTAGCATCTAAATTATTATATAATTTACAGGCACAATACGAGAAGCTACGTGTGAAGTATGCCGTGGAATGCTTGGGTATTAAGAAGAGGTCTCTTCTCCTGGTAGTAACTCTATTACTTTCCATTAGTTCTAGTTTTTGGACCAGATAAGGGGATGTTTTCGTTCTTATTATTTTGTGTATTGAGCAAAGAGAGTGTGAGTCGCGGCTTTTGTTTAGTGGGAGTCAACCAATTTCTTGGGTTTGTCTACTAACCCTATCAAATTTCCTTAAACCTGTGCAGAAGCGTACGCAAGTGTTCTGTATCAGTTGGAGTTTTCTTACGTCAGAAGCAGGTAAGGCGGGACCATAGACCGAATCGCAATACGCATGGCACTTGAGTATTTGAAATATCCTTACTGCAATGGTCCAGAGTGTGAAGTGGTCCTTCACCTGAAAATACCAAAACACTTTAGTATAAAATATTGATGAAGTTGTAAAATACTCACCAGAAATGATCTGCTTGATTCTTCATCAGTATAATTGGCTTAGGTTGGAGGGATGTCTTAGTTTTGGAACTTCATGGTTCCACCTGGAAAGAAATAAGTAATCAGTAAATGTGAAACAGTTCCAGATGGTAGGTTATTTAGGTTTGAAGGATACCCTAACAATTGGCTGGAAATTTCGCTACGTACCTTGAATTATTATGGTCTGAGATGAATTTCGAGACTATTGATTCCATATTGTTAATCAATAACAATGATTTGTCGATATTATGTAATTGTATCTTTGACACTGACGTCTCAAAACAGTGACAGTGCTGTTATGTCATGTCACTTACCGTCATACAAGTAATTCCTGGACAGTATCATGAGGATATGGTCCGTATATATTCTTGGTTACTTTGGTTAGTAATTCAAGTGGTCCGTATATGCCAAATTCCTGAAAAAGCGGTGACCATTACCTGAAACATTGGTGAGTTATCTGTCACCAGAGCAACCGTATTTTTGCGTTGGTAGTTTCGGTTACACAACTATTCAAGTGTCATATATGTCAGTCAAATTGTGTTGTGTGAATTCAAATTCAAAATTCGAAAAAAGGTGGAAGGAAAAATGGAGATACAGGAGGTAGCTATATATTTTCATTTTCATAAAGAAATCGTTACTGAACCGATTTTAGGATGACGTTTTTACATGTGGACATTGCAATGCAGTTCTGGGCACCCTGGGTGAAATCCTGGAGGACGATCTGGCTTCAAAACATCACTGTTCTCTGAATTTGAATTCTATCGATATTGAAATGGATTTCGAAAAAAAAAGAAATCCGTCGGTCTATGCCAAGGAAGCTCGACACTCCTCCGGAACCAACTGCTCTATCTACCAAAGTGAATTTAAGAACAAATATATTGTTATGAAAGGAAAACGTCGGAAAGAAATAACAACATTAAAAGGCACAAAATCAGCTAAATTTCCATCAGAGAGCCCAAATAGGCATTTAATTTTCATAAAAAAAAAATATAGCTTTACTTTTCTTTAGAAAGAACATTTTCAAAACTGAAACCATGCACAAGCAAAAGTTAACAAAGAAATCTTACTCTATAATTCAAACATAACATAAAATCACCCAGTACATTAAACTCTAATGCCAGCCAATCACATGCAATTATTTAAGCAGAATGACTAGGTAGAAAAATATGGCAAGAGAGTGTCAAAATAAAAATTGGGAATCTTCATTATTATAAAATAGTTTAATTTTTAGTATGTTTCATAGAAACAGAATTGTAATAGGTTAAGTAGTTTTCAAGAAATTAATTATTGAAAGTGATACTAAAATAAAAGTGATCTTAGTGAGCGAGGAATTTCAAAACGTTGTACCTAGCAACAAGAAAAAAAAAGGAGGACAGGAAGTTTTTTGGGGCGGTGTTTTTTTTTATGTGGGAAGCAGGTGGAATTTCTTCACAAATGATGATAAAAAGTACAATATCACATCAAAGAAAAACTATATCAAAAGATAGACAAGTATCAAGGTATTAAGTGAGAAAAAATTAGCTTACCCAGAATCCAGA